ACTCGCGGACTACAAAAACTTGGTACCCTTCATGACTACGAAGGAGCTAAACAGACGACAAATAAGGTGGATGGAGAAACTCAGCACCAACAACTTCAAGATCGAATACCGCCCCGGAAAAGAAGGAGGAAAACCAGACGCCTTGACGAGACGATCAGCGGACAAACCAAAAGATCCGGAAGATGAGAGAATCAAACAGAAACAACAAATACTATTACCAAAAGAAAAATATTTCCAATTAGAGGAGGAAGACAGCAGATACGAGTTCCTGAACGAAATCAACACACAGACAACATTGGAAGAAGATATCAGGAGAGAAAGTTCGCAAGACGTGGAAATACAGGCCATTAAGGAAAAACAGGCACAAGGAATCATGGAAACCAAGGGGGTAGCCGTAGGATTGTGCCAATAGGAAGACAATTACCTGTAGTACGAAGGGAAAATCTGGATACCAAACAAGGAAGAATTACACACAGAAATCATACGACACCATCATGACCCTGCCTATGCCGGGCATGGAGAAACAGCCAAAACTACCGAATTCATCAACCGAAGATATTACTAGCCCAAGATAAGAGAAGACATCAAACAATATGTCAAGAATTGCGACATGTGTCAAAGGACCAAAGTGGTACGACATGCACCTTACGGATTACTCAAATCAAACGAGGCCCCGGGAAAACCATGAAAGTCTATATCATTAGACTTCATAACCGGATTACCCTGGTCGAACGATCATGACGCCATATTAGTGGTAGTAGACCGCCTGACCAAAATGAGTCACTTTATACCATGCAAAACGGATATGACAGCACGGCAGTTTGCAACCATATTTCTAAAAGAAATATACCACCTACACAGGTTACCCAAAGACATTATCAGCAACAGGGGATGACTATTCACTTATGAAGTATGGAAGGAAACAACGGAAAAATTAGGAATCGAGCGATGAATGAGCACAGCCTTCCACCCCCAGACAGATGGACAAACGGAAAGAATTAACGGCATACTGGAACAATACCTCCGCACATACATCAACTACCAACAAGACGATTGGTAAGACTGGCTACCACTAGCCGAGTTCGCCTACAACAATGGAAAACAGGAAACAATCAAAAAAACTCCTTTCTTCGTAAATTATGGCATACATCCCGAATACGAAACCATAGGTCATATGCTCTAAAGAAAGGCAACGGATAAAAAAGATATGAGTCAACTACATGACACATTACAAAACAAAATGATCACGGCACAATTACGACAGAAGGAAGACTACAATCGCCAGAGAAAACCCGATCCAAACCTAAAATCAGAAGATATGGTTTGGTTACTACCACGCAACATCCAAACCACGCAACCGATGAAAAAACTGGATTACAAGAAAATAGGACCATTCAGGATATTGGCAAAAATAGGAAGCCGCGCTTATAAGCTCGACCTCCCACCATCAATGAAAATACACAACACTTTCCACATCAGCCTCCTCGAACCCTATCAAGACAACCCTCTACCTTCACAAGAAAAACTACCCCCACAGCCTATTGAGATAGACGGTGAATCAGAATACGAACTCGAAGAAATCATCGACTCTCAATCCCACTACGGTCGCTTACAATACCGAGCAAAGTAGACTGGATACTCTCCAGAACACAAGGAGACTTGGTACCCAGCCGAGAACTTCGATCACGTGCAAAATGCAGTCAACCAATTCCATCAATGATACTCTAGCAAGCCGTCAAGCAATGGTAGAAGACGCACCCGAATCCGAATGTGTGGCCCCGCCACTACACAGAACAGACACCTACTACTGGCAGCAACCTCAGATAGAAACGGAAATGATGCCCTTGAGTTCGTCACTCTAGACCGATCCAAAACACGACGCGTTCTGACACATCACCCCGACCAGCCTGGGATACTGCACCCCGAGCCCAGAACAAACAAAGGATGAGATGGAATACAACCCCGAGGACTGAATAAGTCTGAAAGACTTACCGATACCCAAGACTCCCATTACCCAAAGGGAGCACGCGAACCAGTCATGGACAGGTTGCTACGATGACGAGTGCCAAGTGCACAGAAGCGAGAAAGAAGGCTCGGGATACTGACCTCGGGAAACGAATCGATGGCCCCCCAAGACTTCATCTCTGGGATCGCCAACAAGATCCCCAACCCCAACGAAATCACCGACACCAGAACCAGTGGATCTGGTACAATACAGCGAACCGACTCCGAAAACAGAATCGAGGAGGAGGGGAGTGAAAAAACACAGACAATGGGCAAAGCCCAAGAAACCGAAGCAGGTTTCCTGGCAACGAGAGATGGAAGAAGAAATGGAATACGAGACCTCGAAAGAGGTCAAGATGAAATGGTTAGCGGAAAAAGCGGCAACCAGCAGGTTGCTGGAATACCAGGTGGAAAAGATAGAGGAGCTAAAGAAGGAGCTGGAGAGGATGAGGTAGAGCAACGACAATTTGACGATGGAGTTGCAAGGAGAGAGAAATATGAGAAAGGCTCTCCAGAACGACTGGAGAAAAGAAGGGAAGGAAGCAAAGAAAACTCTGGCCAGGGTGGTCAGGGTAAACACGGGAGCGAATAGGTACTATCCGCTACACGAAGGAAGAAGATAGGAAATAGAAGACTGAAGCCCGATGGGACTCGGGCTGAGGGAGAGAGGAGCTAATGTTACAAACTGTGACTAAGCAAGGCAGATTTCACATAGCTCGGACTTCCAAGTTATAGGTATGTTGGAATTTTACATGATGCACATTAGTGCACCATAGGTTATTATGTTTACCGGTTCGTGACTCACAGTTGTAAGTCACACGATGTTATGATTTTTGCACATGACTCAACTTATGAGTCATGGGTTTCACTCAGGTGATGCGAGTTGCGCACCTGACTGGGTTATTATGTTTTGATTGGTTTTAGGTATGTTGAGCAGCGACTCATAGGAGTCGTCTGATGGATTTTACATGACTCATGATTGTAAGTCACCGGGATCGCGTGACGCGAGGTATGAGTCACGCCAGGTGAAGAGCTACTATATAAAGGGGTCACTAGGACCCCGAGTATTAGCTCTTCACACATTCTTCTTGTTTATTTCCTACCTTTAAGTTCTTATCAATAAAACCTACCTTTACGCTCTTTAAGATTTATCTTAAGAAACCCGAGAAGTATCTTTCCTCCCAGGAGAAGAGATTAAGTCCTAAGCGAGGACTAAGAAGAAGAAGAAGAAGATAGGCGCCAATACGATAGTAGTCAAAGGACTGGACTATCGGGATCGCGTAGGCATAGGCCTGAGAGCTATCACCTTATAGAGAAGTATCGTTACCTGTCGCTAGGTCCTACCTGGTAGGATTCTTAACAACATCCCTCCTGGTCTACAATCCAGTCACATAAACATCTTCCTTGATCTGGTGATAGGCGCTGTTGATGACAGTGTCCAGAGCTTGCGGTCAATGTTTTAAGAATCCTACCGAGTAGGACCTAGCGACAGGTAATGATACTTCTCTGGAAGGGGATAATTCTCAGGCCTGTGCCTACCCAATCCCGATAGCCCAGTCCTTTGACTACTATCGCGTTCGCGCCTATCTCCTTATTCCTTTTCCTAGTCCTCGCATAGGACTTAATCTCCTCTTATGGGAGAAAAGACAATTCTTGGGTTTCTTAAGATAAATCTTAAAGAGCATAAAGGTAGGTTTTATTGGTAATAACTTAAAGGTAGGAAATAAACAAGAAGAACGTGTGAAGAGCTCATACTCGGAGTCCTAGTGACCCTTTATATAGTCACTCTTCACCTGGCCTGACTCACACCTTGCATCACGCAAACCCTGTGACTCATACCCGTGAGTCATATGAAATCCATCAGACAACTCTTATGAGTCGCTGCGCAACATGCCTAAACCAATCAAAACATAATAACCAAATCAGGTGCGCGACTCGCATCACCTGAGTGAAACCCATGACTCATAAGTATGAGTCATATGCGAAAATCATAACATCATGTGACTCACAACTGTGAGTCACGAACAGGTAAACATAATAACCTATGATGCACTAGTGTGCATCGTGTGAAATCCCAACATACCTATGATATAACTTGGAAATCCAAGCTATGTGAAATCTACCTTGCTTAGTCACAGTTTGTGACACAATGCTTCCAAGCGACGACTTTGGAGTGTGGTACCGGGAATACCATATTCTTTCGCTGCCTTTCTCTCTGAGGTGCCATTCTCCATTGCTGCTAAGGCTAGAGTGATTGATTTCTCCCGGATATCCATGTTGTGATGGTGATTGGCAGTATTTTCTGGATGATATTTGATGCGGAATGTGGTTGTTGTTGTGGCCGAAAACTAGGGTTGGCCGAAAACCTGGTACGCGAGCTTACTCAAGTTGTCCGATTGAAGTCGTGTCTTTTTTGATGGGTCACCACCAAAACGGCAGCGACCGACCCTACACGAAAAGCTTATTAATTCCTTCTCCCAAGTTCCCTCCAAGAACTGCATGCCCGAACCGGTAGTTCGCCCACAGCTATCCCTATCCATCTTATCCCCCGCCAGTGTTGGGATGTCCGAGTACAGTACAGTACAATCGTACAAGTACTCCTACTGTGTTTCCGGCAATGGATTAACGCATACTACAAATCCGCCAAGACTGCCTCTGTAACCGATAGACAATTGTCCCTCCTCTCCTACCTGGACCCTACGTACGGCCAACCCACCCCTTCCGGTCAACTGCGAAGAATCGATTATTGCAGTTATGGACATCTCTGAAGCTATTCCGATAGAGCACCAGCAGGTGTTTGACGCTCCCGCTGGCCCAGAACACTCTCCTTATCGTGGCTTCGTTGCTGGCGTCTTTTCTGGCGCGGCCAAATTGACTGGTAACAATTCACACCCATCCCATTATCGTGAAGTCAATCTGCTGACCATTATGTATAGTTGGGCATCCGTAAGCTTTCTTCCCTTTATTAAACCCCTACCACTTATTCCAATTGACCTCAGTGCAGGTTCGACACTATCAAAATACGCATGCAAACTTCGTCGTCAGGACAATTCAGGGGTCCCTTGGATTGCCTCTTGAAAACAGTAGGCAAAGAGGGGTTCCGAGGGCTCTATAAGGGTGCAACTCCGCCTCTTGTTGGCTGGATGTTCATGGATTCGATGCATGTGCCTTCGTCCCCAAAACTCACAGGCTAACTAACAAACTTCAGAATGCTAGGTTCACTTGCTAACTACCGCGCCGTTATTAAGAGCAAACTCTACCCTCACAACGATACCCTTCCCTCCTTGGGCCACGGAATGGCCGGCGTTCTTGCTGGGTGGACGGTGAGCTTTATAGCGGCACCCGTTGAGCACGTGAAGGCTCGTTTACAGATTCAATATAACGCCAAAGGCTCCAAAGTCGGAGTTAAGTACACAGGGCCAATCGACTGTACCAGAAAACTGGTATTCACCCTTTCGCATATAGTAAATCCCAAAAACTAACTTCCACAACCAAAGCTCAACAACCACGGAATCCAAGGTTTGTATCACGGCCTCGGCGCAACTATCCTTTTCCGCACATTCTTTTTCTTCTGGTGGGGTTCCTACGACATCATTACCCGTCAGCTGGAACAAAAGACCGACATGACCCCAATGTTGGTGAATTTCTGGGCAGGCGGATTAAGTGCCAACTTATTCTGGCTCCTTTCTTACCCATCCGACGTAATCAAACAGCGCATCATGACGGACTCGCTCGAAAGCCGTAGGTTTAAGAGCTGGAGTGAGGCCGCCGCCGCTGTCGGAAGGGAAAGTGGAGTTCGTGGCTACTGGAGGGGATTCGTTCCTTGCATCTTGAGGGCTTTTCCAGCTAATGCAGTTGCATTGGTTGCGTTTGAGGGGGTAATGAGGCACTTGCCCTAGAACGCCTCCCAGTTTCCGAATTAAATCTGATAGCATTGGTCTCGGTTTGGGGGTCCCTTGGTTACTGGTATAACCTTAGGCTTGCCCCTCTCCCCAACCTCTCACCTAAATTATTCGCTCTTAGATTACGGCCTAGAGTACCTATACACCCTATTATATCTAGTTCACCTTCAACAGCCCAGTGTCCCACTCCGCCATCCAGCCACTCACCAGACAGTTCCGTTTTTACCACCAGTGTACAGAGTGCATCTCTTATTTCATATCCTTCCCTTTCCCCGTATATTTATTAGGTATTGCAGGAGTCATCATAGGATTTGCATAATCTTTGTCATCAATTCTTACATGCGAAGTCAGGTACCATGTCAATCAACCGACCCGTGAATCTCCACTCCGTTCTGTCCCCCAGCTCGCCCAATGAACGCGCATTCCGAATTACAGCCTTGCGGGGTACAAGCATAAGTGAAATCCTATCAATACTTAGAAGCCTTCTGCCCCTTATCAATGCTTAAGGCTTGCGGTGTCAGTGACGACTTATACCCCTTCGGTTCGTCCGCTGCAGATTTTTTTCCCACCCCCAGAACGAAAGACTGGCTCTCACATGCCTTTGTTCCCCCAAAATAACAATTTTCAAAGGCCATAAATCTTGACTATGGCCTAGTCAGGAAACCTTCAAGGAGTATGTGTCACGGGTTTAGGGGTTTGTCATTTGGCTCTGCCGCTTATTCGCGCCGGTGTTGGTTCAAGTACTCGTACATGCGCATCCGAAGTGACGTGGAAATTTAGAAATTTAATCTACTCTTGAAGGAAGTAATCGAATGAAGGTATACTAGTAAAATTCTAACCTAACAGGACTCTTATCCAAGAAAGGAAGACCAATCACGCCCGATGCCTCCACTACCCTCACAATCCGAAAATTACACTTAATGCCCTCTAATGGGCTCCAAAATCCATGCCGTCAACACAAACTCTCTCTATCCTAGATTACTTGCAGGCCAAGCTCCGCTACCCACCCCAAGACCCCGAACCCCCGACAGAGCAGTTATCCCAGAGAGCAAGCCCCGCCGGGAAGCCCGAGACCCTTGCTTAGCTCCAAAGCTATCATGTGATTTGTCTTAATGAGCGGTACTCACATCCTCGCTCCCCTAATCAATCACACTCCGGAATGTCATCTATCCATTCAACCTATGAACTCGAAGATTCAAACCAGGCAGTCTTGGAGTTGATGCCTGGTTGAAAACCACACAATGCTACCGCAAAAGTCCAGCCCCGTACGAGATTCCAACCAAACCTCGAGATACCATTACGACCCACCATTCAAAAACATCATTGACCACAAGGCAAGAAAGTGCTCCCAAACTCACGGCGAAAACCAGCACATGGTATCACCAATCAATGGCCAGTAGTTCATAAATTCACGATATCCTCCGCCCGGAACTTCACCAACGTACGAGCAAATTACAGCAAACCTGCCACTCAGAGAACACCCACCCAACCAACAGCCCTAATGCAGTAATCAAGCTCCCACCCCATCTCCCCAGAAATCGCATGAAAAACAATTACCTCCACAAATAGGAATCTTAAAACCAGATTCAAAGACACGGGAAAAGGAAAACAGGGAGGAGGGAAGGATAGACCAAAAAGAACACCGCATGGTCGACAAGCACCGCGTCCCCCCCCCCCCCTCAGCTCTATACCACAACCAGTCCATCACAAAATCGGTGAGCATTACGTGGCAAAGTCGGCGGTAACCTCACCATAGCTGTGACGGGTAGTAGCTAGTCAGTGAGCGAAAACTTTCAATTAGGAACAGAGGTAACTCACCGGACGCCATCAACTCTCAACTCGAAAAGAAGGGCCGCACTAAGGACTGACATTTCCATTGTAAAATGTAGCCCTTCGTATTCCACATCCTTACTGTTGCGGCCCTTTGTATAGAGGGACTTGGGCACGGTGGTTAGATCTGATCGGAGTTTGCAGACGGTTGTGACGGCTGGGTGAATATTAGCAGGCGATACAATAGGAGATTTTGAGAGGGGAAGTTACTGGAATCTATGGATTTTGGCGGGAACGTCTCCTGACAGCAAACCAGTTCGTCCACGAGCACCCTGCTGTGATGGTCTTCAAAGGTAATATAGAATGGGAAAGATATACTCTCGTCTTCAGACATTTCCGTCCCCTGCAAGATATTAGTCACACAACCGTTAAATCTAGATAAACGCAACAAACCTTTGCAATGTACCACTTAATCTGGTTCTCGGCGAGCCACTTCTCCCGTGTAGTATCCCAGTATTTGTGTTCTTCGGAGTGGATGTTTTCATCAAAATACTCCCAGTACTTCACACCATAGTGATATCGTGATTTACGGGTTTGCACAATTGTCTCCATTCCACGGATAACCGCACCACGAACCACTGCAGTCCACGAGTCGACGGGTTGAAGCACCACATCGGGGTTGTCCTTTGTTGATAAGATGTCGGCATACTTATTTTTCAGGCGCATGAAAAGGTACTCCGAAGAACCGAACCCGCCGACAAGCAGAATGCTCTTCCAGGGGATATTAGTGTAAGGCCACATAAACATCGATTTGGTCCAAATACCTTTACTTGTCGCCCTTTAGACTGCACAGCGGTGATCTGGCCGTCAACCAATCTCACAACCTCCTGAATGACAGGCTCAAATATAGCTTGGACTTCCTCCCTAATTCAAGGATCAGCAATATTCAACCTGCTTCACTAGCCACATCCTTACCTAGTGACTGTCATAAACCCGCAATCAATACCTCGAGCTTCGTCGTCTGGTAATCCCGGAAATTGAATTGGGAATACCTACAACTAGTCAGTGACCCATCAGAACCTAGAGCCTCGGGTGTACCCCACATCCTGGTCTTCTCCATCAACAAACACCCTCTTTACATACTCCTCCCATGATTTTAGAGCAGCAATCTTTGTCTTCTCTTTCATGGCATAGTATGCTGTAGAACCCAGTCGTTCCTTAACGAAACTCTCGAACCGGCGGTTCAAGAATGCAGAGCCACATAGCTCCCCTTTGCTACGTCAGCATTCCCTCAGCCGATGGGAACAACAAAACAGACCTGTCCCAGTGACACTCTCTTTAACCTGCAGTGGGTCTGTCTGGAGGATTTCATACGATATCAAATCCTTTGAAAGGTAAGTTTTACTTCATCAAATGGAGAGACGCGACATACCACAGTCCCACCCCCAGCGTCACAAACCACAAAACAAGAATCATCCGTAACCTATACAAGCCCTCCAATCAGCAACAACTCCCCATACCCCACAATCAATGCCAAACCCACCTGCAGATTCTTAGGCTGCATGGTCTTTAGTGTGTATATAGCCGCAGCTTCCGGTTCCGAGATTAATCTAATCTTGCACGACTTGGCCATGCCCGTCCCCTCCGCCGCCTGGAGTGTCGCATTTTTCGACCGGTCACTCCACACCGCCGGGCATGTAAGAATAAACTCGATCCTAGTGTTATCCACAAACGTGCTTCCGAGCGCTCGTGTCAGCGTAGTGATCGTGTGATCGTATAGCATCTGCAAGTAATCCCTAACAACATCCTGCACGAGTTTGTCATGCTGTCTGAGCTGCGCATAAATGTTGGGCAAAGAGACGAAGTCCGGAGGACGCAAGTTAGGGTCCAGGCATAGTTTGAAACACTCGATGCAATTTTGGAAAGGCTTCACTTGAAACCCCCATTTTATGCCGTCCTTTTCGTACGCAATTTTCGATGGGACTTTCGGGGAAGTTAGGTTCATTCCGCCGGGCCAACTCTAATTTGAAGATTTCTTAGGTCAGAACCGGAGCATATGGTTAAAAATGGTGTATGAACCTGAATAACGTGTATCTCGCTCGGCGATCCAGTATAACCCCAGGCTACCCTAAGTGTTGGCAGTGTATGTTAGTTCCCCGCTGCTGTATCCGCCTCTCCCCACTCCCACCGATCGCACGCATCAGAGAGAGGGAGAATAGGGAAGTGGAGAGGATTGTACAAAAGACACTCACCCGCTATAAGTTGTTCCAAAGTCCACACCAACAACGATCCTATTCGCTTCCCCAGAGATAGACACATCCCCGATCTTGTCGACTATATTGTGCAGGCTAGTATCCGACTTTGGCGAGTTCATCGCTGGCCAAAAATAACAATGTTCTTCGAGTTGAGAGGTAGGTCCTGTGTTTTGTTCCGGGAAGGGTTTATGTTGCGGGGTTTTTAGGGCCAGCGGGGAGGATTGTTATTAATGGTGAGCGAATGTTTTCGTCCAACTAGGGAATGACCAGAACGAAGAATGAAAAATAAGAGAGTGAAAGCCCCACGTCAGTGTGCGAGCTTGGCTGATTGAACGGCTTTTTTTTTTTTTTTTTTATCTCTTTATTTTATTTTTCTTCTGGACAAACTCTGCCTTACTAGTGGCTGCTGGAGCCCGATGCGCTGGTCCAATGGCTTTGGCTGGCTCTTGCTGTGGACTGATTGGATTAGAAGGCAGCCAGTCGTTTTGGATTTCGGAGAGAGAGGTGACCGCCACTGGAGTCTGTGTCCACTTCCGGTGAATATTAGTGAAGGGAGTTGAGGGTGTTTATACCGGTATTTGATACGGTGCAAACGTTGATGAAGAATTATTGGATTAGGGGGGGTAGAAGGGGGAGGCAGAAGGGGAGGATTACCGTACAGATGAGGTGGTGAGAGGTGAGGTTAGGTCGGGTTCGGGAGTGGGCGGCAAACAAAAGCTATCGTATCGTCGAAAGTGCGGCCCCCCCGATATGAGGTAAAACGCTGCAAAGGCTAACTTTCCAGCCGCATCCCCCCCCGCATCCAACAAGCATTCTATGAGCAATACTCGAGTGAGAGAGTGTGACACCGAGATACGAAACAACAGTACTTTCATCCTTTCTCACTCGTATCATATCACATTGGTGGGTAACAAAACCTCAGGGCTCTCAGCAAACACCATACCCCTTGCTACCAATTATAAGCTCCTAGATGTCAAACGGAGCGGCGATCCAACAGGGAAACTTTGAACCGTTCGACCCGTAAAAACCCTCCAAGATTGCGTGGAGAACACCGGACTGGTAGAAGAAGAAGCAAAAAGCATGTAAACTACCGTACCATACGAGGTATCCACATCGGTGCCAGGTTTCTGTTTCAGAGTCCGAGGGGAGCACCAATCCTGTCGGTTCACGAGGGATCTCCCAGTGGAAGCTTCTCGCCTAATCCACACGATTCAAAACGCACGGTTGAAACAAGGCGATGCGAATATTTTTAGAGAAGCGATTGCACCAACTTTATTTAGCTCAAGAGCTCGATGTGATTTCTGACAATTATGCTAGGTATGCTGCTATGTACTGGGGAAGTAGAGGTTAAATGCAGGAGAAGAGAAGCTAAAATACTCGAGAGGGTAAAATATACAGCTATAAGACAAACCGTGAAAGCCCCCAAATAAAAACTTTTAGACTTTGTACTTTTTCCCTTGGTGCACCGGCGCTCTCCCATCCAAAACGCCTATGAACAAAAGAAACGTGAAGCACAAGAACCAAAACACAGGCTATGAACGCATGAATGGTATCTACCCCCTGAATCCTAGCCAAAAAGAATTTTTTTTAGTAGACTGCGGAGAACCTTCTGATATCCCTCGCTACCAGTCTATCGATCCCGCCCTCCAGCTCGCCCTCTCTATTCAATTCTGGCATCCCACTGGTTTTCAACAATTCCAGATATTGCTTCATCCCATCGACCTCTTCTACGGTACCAATGGGCGAGCTGCGGGGGCGGGGTCTAGTCCTGATGTCTTCCGCAATGCCCATATCAAAATCTTTGACCGTAGCCCCTGCACCGTGGTCCTCCAATTCGAATACACCAACCTCGGCACCCTCGGCGATCATCTCCTTGTCGACTTCATCCGGGTATAGGGCATCGAGTCTACGGCGGTGTTCATCCAACACAGCTTGGTTCTCGACGTCTTTGCGAAAATCGTCATCATCCTCGTCTTCGCTCCAAACAAACTCGTCAACGCCGTTTGTTCCCCCACTGCCACCAGACCAAAGGCTGCGCGAAGCCTGCTCCTCGACATCCAAAAGGTCAAGGATTTCGTTTTTACGCTCGATTTCCTTGATTATACCAGACGTACTAAATAAAGCAAGGTCCGAGTGGGGGGTTGAATCAGGCATGGCCGGAGGATTTGTTTTTCGTTGGTCGCGCACATAGTCGACAACGCGTTCCCAGCGGGCAAGGCGGGAGTCTTTGCCAATCTTTGCGACAGCCTCAGTTGTCAAACGGGGACGCTTCAGGTAATTTCGCTGGCGCATCGAGTTCTGGTGGGCCCGGTGCTGAATGGCCGGCGGGGCCGGAGCAATTGGTGGGCGAGAAGAGTAAATGGTTGTGTTGCCTCTGGGCACGGTTTGTTCGGAGAGGAGAACTTGCTGGATTGGTGGGTTGATCTGGATGGGTGTGAGCAGAGTAGAGGAATGATGGTAATGGTTGTGGCCATGGTTACTAAAGGTAGGCTGAGAGGGGGGAGGAGGTGACGCAGGTAAGCAAATTGCTGGGTGCGGATCATTAGGCGTCAGAACCATAAACGCCTGAGGCAATAGACATGCGGGTGCCCTGGGCGTGGAATGGCGAAGAGCATAAGGTGAAGCTCTAAATGGTTCGGGCTGGTGGAGTGTCTGCGGAGCAGTCTGTGTTGAAGGGGAATTGAGCATGTTCAACGCATGTCGGGCAGACCGTAATGCTTGAGTCATTTCGGCGTAATTGTTGTTGTATTTCGCAGAGGGTAAATTTGTTTGAGGAATAGGAGATGAGATGGGCATTGTGCCCTGCTGCTGGCTGCAGGAGGTCGGGGGTAAAGCAGTGGTGGGTGTGGTAGCGTTAGCTGAAGCAGCCGTTAGGTGGTGCAGGAGCTTAAGCTTCTTCATTGCATTCGACATAGTTGCTGCGAGTTAGGTAGCTGCTTCGTAGGAGAGTTTGTAGTAGGGAGGAGGAGGGTATAGCAGTGAAAGTACCAGAGGAGATTGTAATACGGTGAGCAGTGTGTGAGAAGCGTTCGTGGAGATATTGGCTGAGTATGACTAGCCAAGGAAGAAGAGAAGAGGGAGTTTTATAAGATGGCCGAGAAGGAGAGACAAGGCAATGAAGGATGCGGCAGTATTGGAGTGTGTTCAATGCAATGCATGCAGGCAGGGCAGGAGGAGGGAAAAGGGGGATGTGGAAGAGATAGGTGATATGGGGGGAGGAGAAGGGAGAGAAGAGAAATGGGAGGAAACGGGAGGGCAACAAGAGAATTGGAGAGGAAGAGGGCAAAGCAGGAACCAATGCCCAAGCAGCCACACAACCGGCTGTCACTCTGCCTCCGTCACTCGGTCACTCTGGACGTTTTTTTATCCCAGTGGTGAGACACGCGGCTCCGGGCGCCGGGCATGATACGGGAAGTCGCCAGCTGTCCTGACTTCTCCTTAGAAGGCAACCGCAGAGAGAGGCAGAAGTCACGCTCTCAATAATTAATTAAAGGCCATAACTCACTATGCTCCCGAAGACTGAAAGCTACGTTGCTGGCATTCGTGCAGTAACCAAATTCTCCTCACTCATCACTAGAAAACCCCTATGGCCCGGTGGGAGACGCCGGTCCATTTTCTTCGGGCTCCTTCCCCCTACCGCATGCCATCTCCCCCTCAACTCGTGTATCACGAGAGACCTATAATCACTACCGGTAATTATTTACCGCTCCATCGGGCGAACCCGGCCAGGCGACAAATCACATATCACAGCATAACTCGATAATAGAGGATAACTCCGCTACACGCGAAACGGGCATGTTTTTGCCCGAGTGCCAACCATGTTGTCACTCCTGGTGTGGCTTTTCTATCTTGTCGCCAAGTCATGATCCCGGCAGAGCCAGCACCAGACACCTTGAACTTTCCCATGTTGGAAAGCATGGGGATCATCAACGCTCGAGCCAGTTGCCATACCAAGTACCTGTACTCGAGCACAGTTGGTACGCTGCGGTACGGTACCCCATACTCTACGATCCCCAAATCCCCGCGGCCGAGAAAACAGGAAGGAAAGAAAGAAGGATAATTTCTCCCAGTACGGTACAAGTACAGCACACTGCACACCTTTTACTCTGGAAAGTGGCTCCAGGCGGGGGTAGTGGTACTGTTGCACAGGTCACGTACCGGCTGCCGGTACGCACCGCTGTACTATGTACTCGTACCGTACCGTACTCGAGTACAAGTACGGGTACACCGGCAATGCAACAGTAACCGCAAAAACTGGAATCACACGGGCACCGGTGAACACCGGTAGTGAACACGCTGTTCTTGGGCCGTTTGAGAGGGACAGGACACGCTTTTGTTTCCCTTAAACATGAGAATCTCAGCTGATCCAGGAAATTCAAGAAAAGCGGAGTTTTGAGCAAAATGATGATGACTGCAAGTGCTTACAAGCACCATTACGCTAGCGATACATACGGGCACATAATTGACGAGTAATAAAGCGAGCATCACGGGTAAACTAGGTATTCCTCCAAGAATTGTGCATTATATGAGACGGTAGCAGATAGCCTCTGTCAATTCGTGGAGCCCATTCCCTCTCTACCGTACCCTATTCATCACATCTTGTCATGAATAGGGTGTCCACCCCTCACTTCTTGATGCGCCGAAATATCCCCCCCCACATTTCACAGGCCACGACGGCGAAGTTGGCGAAGTTGCTATGATCCAGAATCGACCAGGAGTCTCCAAGAGGCTCAAGAGGTATCATACCAGTACCGTACGCTATCACACAGTAACAGTACTCGTACCGGTACGGTGCAAAGTCACTCGCGCACAAACCTTAATCCGCGGTGGCCAAGGAAGACCAGCCAAAAGTGTATCGCTTAACTCAAACAAGAACGCGCCATCGGGATCGAATCCTGTCCCCTTCCGCCGCATGGCCGATCACGGCCAGCTTCCCGACAACAACCCCTGAACAATACTCGAGTAACCCGGTCTCTGCCCTAGCGGCCATCCCCGGCCTCATCCAATCGCGGGTAATTGCGGACGAAAACAGGATAGAGGCTGAAAACCCGTTCCGAGTAACGCCACATTTCCAGTCGTAATTCCCGGCCCTGGCCAGTCGGGAAGGGTCCAAAAGTATTGCAATCCGACAAACACACCATTCTTACTGCCCAAACCCGTATGGGTGGAATTAGCTTTTAGGCTTCAGTCAAAGGTTTTTAAAACCGTCGTACGATGATGGTGACATTAGGGAAAATGTCTTTTTTTTTCTTTTTTTCTTTTTTTCCTCTTCCGAGCATTCAAAGTTGTCGGAGATTCCTTGGAGAGTCTCCTGCTCTTTGAGGTATCGTATGATAGATATCATGACATGAGCAGGCACTCATGGCAACACCTACAGATATATATTCTCCCAGGGTACAGGACTCCATCCGGCGTTTACGCGCACCAGCTCTGTTTCTCCGAAGAATACCCGCGAGACCAAGCATGATTCGATTTTGATGAAGGCTATTACCCTTTCACTCCACCTGTACCGGTACAGAAAGTCCCCGTGCGAAATCCAGTCCTTCCCTAAATTACATGTGAGGGAGTTAGTTGCCGGTGGATGATACCGGTAGGCGGCACGGGTGCGATAAGCACGATGCTCACTATTCAGTCACGTTGACTTACCGTACTGGTAAGCTAACCAAAGGCAAGGCCCCCACACCGGCTCAAGTATATACCGCCCGATATGATTCCACTCACCCTGAATCGAAAATACGGTAGGCCAGCAATTGAGCAAATCCAGGCTGCTAAAGCTCCAAACTTTCCACTTGGGTGTATCTTTCCTGCATGGTGAGAGCGCGAAGTTGCTCCGATGCCCAATGTACTCGGGCAGCATACACTCCTTTTACGCCCTAGACATTGAGAGTTGCCGGGTACATGCTCGGGTACTCGAGTACAGTACTCGTACAAGACGGCTCCTTGGCCTCATGGTAGGTATCGGGTGACGGAATTGCCGGGAAACCCCGCGTTAGTTCCCCCATGTCTCTAGAACTGTAATTTGGATGGGCTGTTTTCCAAGGGGTTTGTTTCTCTTGATCATTTATCGGTGGCTTACTATGCCGAGATATGGTTGTGGATTACCGGTATTTTGCTGAGGCATCGTCTGTTGGGGCCAGTGTTGCGTTGGGTAAACCCCTGGCTATCGTACGGAATCAGAGTTTACCGTGCTGTACTCGAGCACTAGGAATGCTAGTATAAAAGCAGGGGCTTCCCTTCTGAACAGCTAGCGATGCTATCCCAGACAATTACTACAGGTACTGTACAGCCTTCTGGCCTGGAAGCGATCTCCGATGTTTAGAAGGAGACGAGCATCGCAGGTCTACCGTACCGTACTCAAGGTTACCAACATCGGATCAGATAACGTTGCTAACCAGACCTATGCCCACTATGGCGTCGTTAGCCATCTTTTTCATATCATAGCTGGGTATCATAGCTTTCCTCCGCTTCTCTCTTCCCAATGACATGAGGGCAACAATCCAGGTGCCTTGCCCCAGGCCTTGGTCGTCGGGGGTATTGGAGGAAGATATACCAGTATGCCTCATCTCACACCTTCCATCATGGCATTTGTGCTCCACCGTTCCAATATTCTAGCATTCGATGCTCGTACTACCAGCGGAAAGAGTCAAACACTAAAAAAAGCAAACCCACACTTCCAGCACCCCAAAAGTGAAGTACTGTACCGGTGCCATGTCTTCTTCCACACATAAGGTACGCACAACTTCCCCCGTACCGGTACTACGTTCCCATCAACAACAGCATCAATGCCCCTAATCACATCTCCACACTTTTACATCTTCCATTCATCAACAAGTTACCCTTCGCACTCCCCCCATCACCGCCCAATTCCGCGGTCAAGAACTATATTTCCACCGGATCCTGACACCAAGCAGTCGAATCCGACCAAAGGGACGAAGAACACAACCGACCCTGCCGCAAAGGGGGATCAAAAGGCGGAATTCTCCGGCGCCGTCACAACGGACTCCTTGGCAGCCGAATCACTTCGTTCTGGTGGCGACTTTTCCAGAGGCAACCCCACAGGTATCATTGGGATCACAGCAGATAACTCAACACTGAACACCACCATCAGCGGCGGAAAGGTTTGCGAGATCCGTGGGAATTGGTCTGGTGAAGAGCGCTACGCTGAGGCCGGTGTCGATCGGAAGAAATTTGCGGAGGTTGGCGCGAGCGGAGGCGGGAGCCAGGCGGATGATCCCATCGATGAAGATTTCGGTGGGAGACCTGTTCGGGAACCTTTGAGAAGAAATGCAGGAGGTAGCGCCGGTCGATCGTCACGAACCCCCCATGGTGGATCGGGTGCTGGTAGGGGGTTTACGAAAGCCGGTGATGGACGTCACAGCGATAGTGGTGGAGAAGGGGGCAAGGGGTCTAAACAATCTGCTGGCTCAGGACCTACCGGTGAAGTGAGCAGGGCCGTACCTAATACTGTACTCGGCGAGCAGGTTAAGGAGCCTGGGCTTGATTGGTCAAAGATTCCGAAGGACATCAAACCGCTTACTGGTGCCGGCAGTGGGGAGGACCCGGGTCGTGTTGCGGAAAATCGTCTGGTTAAACAACCATCTGGGAAGCAGGGGCCCGGTGACACTAGTGGGGGGATAGAGAGGTCTATTGGGGAAGGGACAGTCTTTGATTATTTGAAGAGCAATGGGAATGCTTAGGCGTACCATTGGGGTGGTTGTTTAATGTATGATCTCTACTCTTGCACTACGACGATCATCGATGGATTCACGACTAGATCGATGGCACGGGGCGTATGGATGGATGGATTGGAGTATGGTAATATCATGATACATGCATCTTTGGGAAAAATGTACTTCGGGAAATAGCTAGTTTTCGTAACTGCATTCTTCATCGTGGAGGCTAAATTGTAAGTATGCCTCCCGTTTCTGGTTGAAGAACAGGTCTGGATCGAGAGGCACTTCCATTTCGATTGAAGTATGCCTGCGCAAATTTGGGCCCCCTGTTTGCAAGACTGTTTGGATTTATATAGTTCACCCGATCCCAATCCCATCCTTGCCCTGATAATCCTGAGCAACCCGTGCCCAAACGCCTGAGCCCAGAGAACTTTGTTTGTATTCCCACAACCCCCTCCCCCTTCTCCCCGCTTCAAAATATGATCGTATGATACCACCCCATTGCTCGCCACACCCCCGGGCCTCAATGGGAATCATCCCAGTTATATTCGATCCACTTAGCCGCCCCTCTCGCAACATCCACTCCAACAAGTTTCTTGACAACATACAAAGCACCGTCGATCCCACTGCTAACCCCTCCACTCGTAACCACATCGACTCCTAGATCCATACCCCCGCTCCCTCTGAGAACTTCGGCTACGACCCTATCCTCTACAACATCCGCCGTACCGCCGCCCTCCTCGATGATGCTCTGAAGCGTCTCCCGGGCACTATAATGCGTGGTCACCCTCATACCGTCCAATATGGCGGCCTTGGCAAGAAGTAGGGTGCCTGTGCAAACAGACAATATCGTCTTGCGCCTCCCATGATGGCTTCTCGCGAATCTGGAGATCCAGTCCTGGAGAAAGAGGTTCTCCATCTGCTGCCCAGTACCCACACCCCCGGGGATGACGACGACATCCCATTTGTCGTCCTGGCCTTCCGGGGAAAAGAGGTCAATATCCCTCGTGATGGCACAGCCTCTACCGTGAGAAGTCCTGATGGTCTGGGTTTCTGACAGGATGGCTACATCAAAGGCCATTCTTTCAGATCCCGGTGGGGGAACCCGATACGGCGCGCCTTGCGGGAAGGGCGGTTGGGCAGCAATCGTGAAGACCTCCATGGGCCCAGCAAAATCGAGGAGTTCGACGTTGTCAAAACTGCTTATGACGATAGATTGATGGAATGGTCGTTAGCATGGTGCTTTTACCTTTCTTCTTTTGGGGCGAAAGGAAGGGGGAATTGCTCATGCTCAGAAACTTAGACCAATGTGGGGCTGAATATCTAGAAGGAGGGACAATTTACACAATGATGGCTACTCTGATGGGCGGCATTATACGTTGCAGGTTTGGTAGGGAAATGGAGGTTAGATGAGGCTTCAATGATGGTACTAAATCCTAGAAGGATCGTGAAAACTGGGGGTAGTCTGGAAAAAAACGATAAACAGCAAGAGAGGGATTCAAGGTGGATGGAGCTCCGATGGATGTGGGAGGAGGGAAAGGAAGCAAGGGAAATGAGGAGAGGCGGGGCTAATGGGGGAGAAAATAGACAGGGAGGATAAAAGTGGAAGAGTAGTAAAGAGGAGGGGAGGAAGATGATGTTATAGGTCAGGATGGGAGGGGAGTCGTGAGGGAGGGGGAGAGAAGTCTTGCCCGAATTTCCCGCGTTTCCCCCGTTCGCCTCTCCTCCTCCTTCCCTTGCTACTCTGCCGGGCCTGCCCTAACCAGCGCTCACCATTTTGTCTCACTTTTTTTATATTAACCGTTCTAACTTAGATCTTATCCTGTCCTTCTCCGTCACTCCGCCACTGCCGGAGTGGAGAATCGCTCGGTTTCACTCGAAGCCGAGACATGAGTTGGGGTGTTCTAGAGAGAAGGGAGTGTGTGTATGCACACACGCTGTGCGTGTGATTGTGCATTCCTTTTTTTTTTTTTGGAATGTGGTTGTTTGTCTGTTCTGTAATCTACCGTAGCACTGGAGGCCTGGATGATGCGGTGAAATCTCTTTCCCTTCCACCCTTCGAGGCGGGGAAATATAATGGAAGTGTCAGAAGTCGAAAGCTAAGGACATGGGAGGTGGGGGCGAAGGAGGAACACCGGCAGAGCAGAGAGGGAGGAGAGGAGAAGGAGAAGGAGGAGGGGGAGGAGGGAGGAGTTTGTTTACAATGTATCTAACCATCCACGGGTCGGGGATAAGCATTTATCTACTCTCGAGAGTGGATATTTGCCTTGGGGGTCGTGGATTGGTGGTAAATGGTTGGCTAAGAGGGGGTCTAAGGACAGGAAGTCCCAAAGGACCCATCAAAGGAGTGGTAAGTGTGGAAATGCAGAGTGGAGAGAGAGGTGCACAATCGAGGGCGCAGATTGTATAGTGCAGAGACTGAGAGAATTGGGAGATTTGAGGAAATGGGGAGTGGGAAGAAGGGGTTGGGGGAGAGAGGGTTGAAGACAAAAAGGAAATACAGTAGCAAAGCACGAGTAGCTAAGCCGGCCCAGTGAGCGAAGGGGAATGTGAGGGCTGCGTGTGAGAGATGGGGTACATTTTTCAATGGGGCAACCATTGTGCATGCGGTAGTCCATTACTTGTAGATCATATTATGACCCAAAATAGGTAGGAAAAGCCGTTACCATAATGTTATAATTTGAGGGTATTATTGTAATCTTCATTATAAGGACGGCCGCATGTCAGTGAAGAGTAGGAGTAGGAGGAGTAGGAGTACCCATATCGGTACACTCGGAAGTTGAGGTGGAGAGCCAGTTAAGTCACACAGTGCGGTTGGATAAGCTGATACAGAAATTCCACCCCTCTCTCACAAATACCGTATTTTTTTTCAATGGGAATTCCCCATCCTTCCTTACATATTATCCGCCTATCTATGCCATACCCTACATACATTTCCCCGGTCCAAACTGCTGTATGATCCATGATTCACAATCCCTTGTGCAATCCGGTTCTTCTTGTGGACGGAAAGACACAATGAAATTACGTTATCACCCCTTCCTTGAACTATTTAACGCTCCATTCATCCAGCCATTAAGCAAGCAAGCAAGTGAGCGGGGTGGGCGTGAAGTGGAGAGAGATCGTGTGTGGGGATAGGTGTGGGTGGGAAAGAGCGGGTAGTCTACTCCGATTGGAGAATTCACATGTACCACACGTACCAGACGTATCACAAGTATCACAAGTATCACAAGTACTCGAGTACAGTATGACATTCCATACCTGACCAAGTCAACCAAACCTAACCTCGAAGGTATCAACAAGCTAAAGTTGACAATTCAACACTCGAGTATGATACAACCGGCCTTTCTCCCGCCCGCACTTCCATTCGTCCACCCACTAGGTATAGCCTTGGGGAAGGAGGGCAAGAAAAAAGAAAGAAAGAAAAGAATCACTGAGTCCAGACCACGGCTGTGTGCAAATAGTACGGTGCTCGTGCAGTATTATTAGCCTTCGGTTGAGAGTTCTGTGTGTGGGCGTTTTTGTGGTAGTTTTTTTTAAATTTTTTTTACTTTTTGTTGCCCTGTTTGCCTGCCCGCCGCTGCTGCTTTTGCACTTTCCCTTGCACCCTTTGGTGCTAAGTGTATTTTTATCATACTTATACGAGTATCATAGATTGGGGACAGGAATGATGGGGGGGTTTGCGAAAGGGATAAAGTAAGGTTTGTTAGAAAAAAAGAAGGGGGGGGGTCTTGGGAGGGGTTAATAATGGTGAGGATTATAACAATATATAAAAAATGGGGTCAGGGTTAATGGGAAAAGTGGTGGTTTGTGCAAGTGTTTCATAGTAGAGTAGTTGTGTTCGGTGGGAATAGTAGGGGTACTGGTTGCAGTTACCTCCGCCGTGCATTATTACTGGACCGTCTCTCGTATGATACTTTTAGAACATTATATTTTATACAAAGCCATTGTTCCTCCCTGTCGTTGGCCGGAGTGCAGGCGGCTATGGCTCACGGGGTGATGGAATTGAGGGGACTGGATTTATTTGCACGAGTACGATACGGCACAGGAAGGGGGGATACGGGAGCACCGTGCTGTACTGGTACCGCCACTCTCCACTCTCCAGGTCTGGGGAGGCTGCTATGATACCATATTGAAGGCGTTCTCGATTTTGATCCGGGTCTCCTAGGGTTTTATACAACTCAGTTCCCTTCTGCAGCCTTATCTGTATGGTATTGTCATCATTATACCTGCTGCTACAGTATTTCACTCTCGACTGTACTCGAGCACTGAGTTAAGGAAAGATTATGGTAACTTTTTGCTTGCCTTTTGCGGCGGCAAAGACGTCAACCCTGCTCCCCTGACTCTTGAGCCGTATTTCTGCTCCCATCTTTGACTTTATCGAAGCGTATTATTCGTCACGGAAGCGTTACGGTAGGTGCAAAATTGCGGCTCCAAAGTGACAAAGGTATCACACCTGCTTGCCATGATAGGAGCACGGCCGACTATCAGTGAAATCATTGATCCCCCGAATTTCGCTACTGAAAAATTGCACTGTACTGTACGGTATTATACCGGTATTAGTATGATATTGTATCACCATTGGCTTATTTTTGTTGTTGCTGTTCGCTCTCACCTCACTTGTCGTGTGGCGCAACCTTTGCCTCGTGCCCCCTTCATTCCCTTCCTCGTGTCTTCCTGCCATTTCCTTCCTTCAACACTTCTCGTGTTTGCCTTGAGCCTCAACATCCATCCACCACACCCCTCATCCATCAGCTCTCCCACCGGGGGTTGCTTCCCTGCCCTCCCTCTCCACCTCCGCCCCTCATCTCTACCCCTCGATCAGTTCCGCAAATAGTGGAAAAAGAGGCGGATACCGCAATGTTCCGTCCGCTGTCCTTATGGAGCGGCATACCTTGCCCGGCAATAAAGTCTGGGTCAGCCTGTTCCCTACCACATTGCTTCTTTTCGCATGCGGTGGCACCCGCCCCTGCCATCACCGCAAGTCTCCCGTCTCAGACACTCCCGAGCACTCAATCACCGGCCGATAAGGAACCTTCGCCGAGTCCCACACCGCGCCCTCCTGCGACGCCATCTCCTGCCCCAGCTGCTAAGGACCCAAGGACTACCGCTTCAGCAAACAATGGTGCACTGCCGCCTGCCGACAAGAAACGGAGGATGGTCACGGGTGACGAGGATAGCTACACCTCGTCTAGTAGCGATGGCGGGGTTCCTCTTAATGGGGACCCCGCGCCGCCGGCTGTCAAGAAGGCTAAAACTGATGCCGAGCGCCCAGGCCCATCAACAGCGGTCGCCCCGAAGCCCAAGTCAATCCTGAAAACCCACGGGAAAGTAAATGCGCGAGCATCATCGTCGACTTCTAAGCCGAGCACGCAAGCTAAAGACTTGCCCAGACCTAGAACTCAGCCGAAAGCTCGCACGGAGGACGCCGCTAAGAGCATTCCAGTACCCCAGAGGGCCGGGGGAGCTTCGACTACCACTACCCCACAGCCTTTAGCTACCGGATCGACGGCTTCCGGAGCGTCAAAGACTGAGATAGTGAGACCTGCTGCTTCGGACAAGCCACTGTCGCTGAACCCCAGACTAGTAGCCAGGGCACCAGCTGGCCACGATACCAGATTACAGCTCCTGACGCTGTTACACAAGCAATATGTCCGCTTGTACGAGCACAAGGGAGATGAGCAGTTGATGCTGCGGTATGCTCTGGATGAGGAGGAGAAGATTGCTATCAAGAAGAAGCCGATATATACCCAAGCGATGACGAAGCGCATTTATATGATGTCCAAGATGAGCCCAGAGCAGTATAGGAAGTCTGTGGAGGAGGAAAAGGCGAAGCAGCAGAAGAAGAGTGAGGATGAAAACATGGCACCGGCACTTTCGACGGGAAAGACTATACGCCAGGAGCTTAATGCGTTGAGATCTCTGATAAATTCACCAAGTCTGCTACAGACGTATGGGTATATTCTCGACCCACCGACAGAAAAGGAGATTAAGCTTTCGCTAGATGGATTGAAGTCTGCGGGGGGGTGGGAACAATGCGATCGCTGCACCACTAGGTTTCAAGTTTATCAGGGACGTAGAGAGTCTGACGGGGAATTGGCGAGTGGGGGGAAGTGTATTTTTCATTGGGGGAGATTGATATTTTTACAGCGTATCTCAGTCTCCATCCTAATCCATGACATATACTAACTCCGCATAGGGACTGGATCAGCATACCAGGACAATGCTCGAGAAAAGGTCTATTCCTGCTGTCGGCGCGTCGCCGGCAGCCCCGGGTGCACTACAGCCGAGAACCACGTTTTCAAGGTCAGCGAGGCTAAGCGTCTTGCTGCATCGTGGCCCTTCATCTGCACTCCATCGCCTTCCAATTCCACTACCGACAGTCCCACGGCCGATACCCCGGAATCCAAAGACTCCTCCCCCCCGCTAGTCGAAAAAGCCCTATGCATAGATTGCGAAATGTGCTACACAACCCGTGGCATGGAACTAATCCGCGTAACTGCAACTGCGTTCCCCACTGGTGCAATCGTCATGGACGCGCTCGTCCGCCCATTCGGCGAAATCTTGGACCTAAACACCCGCTTCTCTGGTGTTCGCCCACTCGAATTCACATCCGCCCAGTCCTTCACCCCTCAACCCTACCCTACCACTACGGCACTTATGAGCCCCTGCTCCCACGCCCCCTCCGCGCCCCTATGCATCATCCCGTCGCCATCCGCAGCCCGCGACTTGCTGCTCACATACATCAGCTCTGAGACCCCGCTCATCGGCCACGCACTCGAAAACGATCTTAACGCCCTACGGCTATGCCACAAGAACGTGATCGACACGGCAATACTATTCCCGCATAATCGCGGTCTCCCGGCAAGGAACAAGTTGAAGTATCTTGTGGACGTGCACTTGGGGAGAAGGATCCAGGTGGAGGGTGCGGCGGACGGGCATGATAGTGCTGTTGACGCGAGGTGTGCTGGGGAATTGGTGAGGTTCAAGATCGGTGGAGGGGTGCCGGCGCGATAATTATGGAGCGATGAGGAGACGGATGAATCTGCTTGTACAAGCTCGGTGGGAAGCGGTCGGCGTTCGGGTTTTATCACTTTCTTTTGTCCTTCTCCCTTGCTCTGGCTTTACTGCTGACTTCCACCCTTTCGTTTGTTTCTTTTTCTTCCTTTACCCGAGTGCGGAGAGAGCGGGGGATTGTCATCTGGAATGTACACTGCAGTGATTACCCACTAGATATCATACCATACCAAAGCTCTATAGGCACGTAAGTAAGTAGTCCGCTTAATCAAACTATGCATTTCACATGCCGCGCCGTAAATCCCGTTACCACCACTCCCAAAGTCCTCCCGCTCTCCACTTTTAACTTGAACTTGATTTGAACGCCCCCAAGTGAAAAAAAGAAGCACCCGTGGTATCGTTACGTACTGTGGCAGCATAGCATAAACGAAAATTTCTCCGGCGTTACTGTACGCAGCCAAACTTACACAGGGCAGCGAAGCGCATTAGCGTCATTGGGTGTCACTCGCGTACCTATTCAGACGTACCTATTCAGATGACGTTTGGTGCAAGTGATTGGTGCGATTACAGTAAGCCGCATCCAGAGATGTGTCAGATTCACGTGTGGACATGTAGACGTTTTCCAAGTCAAAGGAGGAGCTAGGAAGAAATAGCACGTTTAGGGGACATTTATCTTGGCAGCAGTCGTTGTGCTCGGCGCGAAAAGGAATGAATGAGAGCACAGCACCGGCGGGCAGACTCCTAAGCACAATATGCCCGTAGTTGTGGGAGCGAGCTGCCGCACTTTCGGTCTCACTATCGTTGTATCGTACCCGCTGCACGCTATCTTATCGAGGGGGGGACGAGGGTTCAGTCCATTGAAAAAAAATCCAAGTCCGGGTATGATGGCTGGTTTACGATATCATATCATAGCAAAGGAATCTGTTTGTGGTTGCACCACCCAAGACTCTGCCGAGTTCTCTTCATTCTCTATCACTCGTTTCCGGTGGATAATACCAGTATTGCCCTCTCCAGTTCCGCAAATCAATTCAACGCGGAGGCGGCATACTTTGTGGGGCGTACAGTAGTGCTTGGTTGAATCGCGGGTCTCAGGTCGGAACGCGGGGGGCCATCTTAATACGATTGTCTGTCCCTGTGAATCTGCCGATCAGGTTTTCGGAATCCTCGGGAAAACTCCGCCAATGGGGTGCCGTGGCTTATTATGGTCAAATCATACGTAATAGCAGACCAATGTGGGATTGTGGGTTTTATAGAAGGGTGGATCACAAATATCCTTCTCGCAGCCGGTGGGCACAACAAGAGGCACAAAACCTCGCTAGAAGCACCGGAAGTATTTAGTTGAGTGCTTGTAATGTAATATCATATTATTTCCCAATCACTACCAATAGCTTAGGATTCCGAAACAACTACCGAGGTGGTAGCTACTACCGTAATCTCCAACAATCCTAGCAGCCTCATTAATAATATCCTCCTTCCAATAGCACCTAGCAAACCACCAACTGCTCGTATTCATTGATGAGCCTCTCCTGGAGAGTATATATGGCAACCACGGTCTATCCATCACCGGTCACCCAAAAGGCTTCTCAACGATGAGCAAGCTTCACAATCTCCAGCAAAACGGGGCGGCAATAATCTGCAATGCGCATGTCGTAGAGCTTGGAATACCCTTCTGGTACCCGCCATAACCACAATCAGCTCCGCAAATGAGCCCGCACACCTCAAACCACGGGAAAAGAAGAAATGCGAAACTCACCTCTCTCAGAAGGACAGGCATAAAAAACGTCATCCTTCCCTAAGGCCAGGAGCCCATTCTTCCCCACGGAAAATCCCCCGGAGAACAGCAAGTCATGCTGCAAAGGTGGATGATCGAACAGAAATTGCCTATTAGCAACAATACATCCCGTCCTGCCACTCGAGTCCTTAAGGACTCCATCAGTGATAGAAATAATAGCAGTGTCACGGTCGATGCATGCAATGCTTTGGCTGGATGCTTCGTCTCTCGCCTCAATAGGGAGTTGTATGATGCCGAATTGGTGATCGAGGGTTCTTCTACCATCGGGAGGGGTGCCACTCGGATAGCGTTCTCCCGTAAGGTCTTTGTGATCCGGGAGACCTAGAATAGGTAGAGGAAGGAGGAGCATGAGCACGAAAAGGAGGCCGGAAGAGGTGTAGTGCATTGTGCGTTTGATAAACGACCTTTTTTCTTCCCATGGGAGAGTGTATGTTTTTTGTGGGAAAGAGGTGGGGGGGGGGGGGGGACTGATATTTAACAGCGGAAGGGAGCACACTGAATGGCCGCGCAATGAAGACGAGGCTGTTATGCCCAACGGCTCTCCAATAGTCAACCGCTTCAACTTGGTGAGGCCATCATCATCTTTGGATCCATATCGTTTGGGTGCAATATAGCTCACTTAATCTAGGCCGTGAGAGCCGTAATTTTATGGAATTCCACTTGTTAATGGGCTTAGACAAAGGCTTAGCTCGAATAAGGAGATGTTTTCCCTTGAAATATATGCCATTTTAGTCAATGGGAAACGGAAGCTGTCCTGTGGGAATATTAGGTGAAACTTGGTTAACGTGCTCTACAGAAGCTCTCTGCTAGATAAAAGCAATTGGGCTCGTTATTAAGGCGGCACGACTTCGAGATGCCTTAGTAAACATGTCCATTAGGAAAACTAGTACCCTTGAGCAAAGCTTCGCCTTAGTGACGGAGGTTTTTATATTCCACCACCGCACATGCATTTGAAGTCTGACTGAATTTTCGAAACTTCTTCCTAAGCCCTTCCACACTAAAGACAGCAAATTCGGGCCGGTGAGTCTATTGTCCGGTGCACAGCAAGGGTGGGTAGAACGGAGACCAGCCATACACCACAGTTCTCATCTCACAGCTCGCCGACTAGCCAATTCTCCGGGAGCTGGATACTCTTGACTCCGGAGGCTCACAAGGAGCCATAGGCAGAGAGGCTCAGGGAAGTTCTCTGGGGAACCCCAAGAAGGAACCCCCCAGACTGCGAGTTCCCCCCGAAAACCCCGCAAATGGTGAAAGTAGACATAAAAAGTGGGAAACCCATGAGATACCCAACTCCCACACAGGCTACCTGGGCTAACAACCCAAATCCTGCAAGAGACACGAAGCTCTCACGGCACCATCTCAGCTCGCTTTTAACCTACCGGCCAATCGCCCTTTACTAAATAAACACCTTCAATCCTAGGCAATTTCCATCACTCGGCCCTCCGGCGCAGTGAGATGAGGATGCACTCTCGCTGGAGTAGTGTTTGCACCGGGGAAGTCCGTTCGGTACCGGTAAGGATTTTGTCACGAGCTTCTGCCTGAAGGGTGGGGAAGCCGGTGGGCCACAATATAATCTATTAGGATTCGGGGCCCTGCAAGGCCCCCCGGAAATAAACCTGGGGAAATCTGCAAAGGAAGCCTGCTACAGAAGCTTGGTGCAGAAGTCTACTCTACTGTGGCAACCTGGCAGGGCTGGTGAGGTTTACTCACTACCATTGATAATTAACTTTATATTGCTCATTCACTAGTAACCTCTCTCAAGGTATGTGCTAGTAAACAGATTTCTACACAACTTGACGTCGTACAGCACAACACCAGCCAACACGCTTGGGGGCAGCCCTCAAATACCGAGGCGGTAGAGGGATGCGGAAGGAAAAGATAGAAGTTCCCAAGCACTCCAGGACCGGCCATGGTCCACACAGCTCTATCGGTGGTCCACTGTCCCCTCCCGGGATTGTTTCTAATTCGTCGGAATTTATATGTCCTCACAAACCCCCATAGTCCTCGGCTGAGCCCCACTATCCGTTTGAGATCCCCACGTATCCCCACGGTCTCTGGGGGATGGCTGCAGTCTGCCACTATCACCTGCAGCACTTGTACTTGGACTATAAAACAACGCCTCGCGTGCCGGGCCCGTGGTCCCTGCTAAAAACCTACACTCCCCAAAACCGCAGGACCAGGTGGACAGCCAATAGTAATCCTGTCCGGTCTAACCTTCCTGGCAGTCTCCCCGTGGGGCCACCAGGTCCCCCAGACTGCTATGAATTCTGGTTTGTCCGCCGAACAGTTCGCTCATCCTTTGCCTCTCAGCCGAGGATATGCTAAGCAAGCCTCGGTGTTCACCAGAGTCTGGGGGGAGCGCTAGTTATGAAGTTATCCTATGTAGCAGGGAAAGGTCTAGCCGAGGGATCTTTGCAAGCCGGATAGAGCCCGGTTTGCTCAGCCGTTGCTCGATAAAAATCAACTAACTGATCACTAGCACATGGGAACACCAGAGGGACTCTATAAGCGGATGGTGACCAAATGATTTGCGCAGTTTAATAAAGCGCTAAAAGAGTAGGGGGCAGGGGTACGGAAGTGGCTCAGAAGGATGATTGGCTTTCAGGTTGTCAGTATGTTGTGGAGAAATTCCTTTTTTCTTTGGTTCCTTTTTGTTGAAATGTTATCAAGTTCTACCAAGGTCTTGTACTCGGGGGTAAGCATAAGTCAGGGGCACTTTCAAAATAAGCATAATACTTATATATGGACGAAAACCAAAGAGGAAAGTTGAGTGATATCCAGTGATTAAGATAAGTGAGCAGTAGAAGTCAGGTGTGCTTTCATGATTTTGATTTTATTTTCAAGTGTTAGGAATCCTACTGCAGGTGGGGGTGCGACAGGTAACGATCCTTACTTGCGTTAAGCAGATAGTTCTTAGGCTGTTGTCTATGTGATCCAGATAGCTAAGTCCCTTGACTCCTATCTTTTCATGCCTATGTCCTTAGTCTTATTAAGTCCTTGCATAGGACTTAATTCTTTGTTGTGGGAGGAAAGACAATTCTCGAGATTCTTAAGATAAATCTTAAAGAGTGTAAAGGTGGGTTGTATTCAAGTAAAACATAAAGATAGAAAATAAACTAGAAGAATGTGTGAAGAGCTCATACTCGGCCCGGGGGTCCTAGTGACCCTTTATATATTCACTCTTCACTAGGTATGACTCATACCTCGAGTCACACAAACCTTGTAACTCACAACTATAAGTCATATAAAATCCATCAGCTGACTCCTATGAGTTGCTTCACCCTATACCTAAAACCAATCAAACATAACAACCAAGTCAGGCCTGGGTGTGCAACTCATGTTACCTGAGTGAACCCCATGACTCATAAACTGAGTCATGTATGAAAATTATAATATTGTGTGACTCACAACTGTAAGTCATGAGAAGGTAAACATGAAAACCTATGATGCACTAATATGTATCATGTGAAATCCCAACATACCTATAGCTTGAAATCCCAAGCTATGTGAAAGCTGCCTTGCTTAGTCATAGTTTATGACATCAAGCTAACAAACAGAACTTCTATAATATTGTTAGTCATGCTTGAATCAAAGCATTGATAGTGGAAAATATTTGTAGCGGTTTTTGGAATGCTAGCATCACTCCTTCTAATTGTCACAGCCACTAGGCTATGATGCTAGTGGGAGAATAGGCATCGGATTTTTGATTGCATATATTGGTTGTGATTGTGCAGTTGTGCTGTAGGATTTCCTTTGTACCATGATTGGGACACGTCGTCGCACAACAGAAGTTGATGGAGCTGAATAGAAGGATCGTGGCTAGATGCAACGCCAAGAACTTTCTTTTGTATTAGTGATCATAGGGGGATTTCCTTAATATATAAAGGGGTGTGCCCCTTTATATTTTACTTTCTTTATGAAATCTGGTAATCTCCTTTGGACATCCTTTCTTAGGTTCTAAGGATCCTCCTAAACTCCACGTGGTCCCTGACTTTATCTCGTGATAGTTTCAAGTCTTTGTTTGCAAAGGAATCTTTACCTTCACTTACAATTGTTAACCTCGAAAGGCTTTGTCCTTTCGTTCTTGTCTTTAGGTTCTTTATTTCCATCTTTCATTATCTTCGGTCGGTCGCTTCAATGTCTAAGCGAGGTTCTTCTCTTTCAGCGGACAAGGTAGTGGCGGCCTTGTCTTCCCTCTTGGTGTCAGTGGATGAGGCTTTTCTTCTTTGGAAGGAGGTTTCCCGCCTTCGCCATCATGTCTCGGTACTCTTTTTGCCGTCTCTATCAGTCAAAGCTAGAGCATGTAGCCCTGGCTTTAGCCAGGCGACTGCCCTCCCCTTCATGCTGCGGGATTGGGGACATGACGCCACCTCCCAGTGGAGGGGTGGCTGAAGATGAGGAGGTAGCTGAGGTGTGGTTGCCCATGGTGGTGTTCTTGCCTTCTGGGATGCAGGCACCTGACCCATTCATGGCTGAGCTCGGGGTGGTGGCTGGCCCTGCCAGTGTGACGTCTACTAGGGTGTCTGGTGTACCCTGGTTCGCAGATATATTCGTCAATTCCTCCCCCCTCCTGGCCGCGCTAGGGCTGCCATGGTCTCCCATCGATAATGGATTGGTGATTGATAGATCCAACATGTTAGACAGCTCGGTGGTTACGGTGGTGGTGGATGTTGCTTTGGGTCCAGACCTTCCCCCTGGACATCTCCCCCATGGGTATTGGCCTAAGGGGGAGAATCCATATGTGGTTGGCAGGTACGATACTTAGTCCCTGTTGGCGGGGCCTATTGGGTGCTGAGAAAGAAGTTCATTTCCAGATGTGGCAGTTAGCATGTCTGACTATCTCGGAGTGAGGTTGCCGGGGCAGCAGGCTAGGAAGAGGGCACTAGAGGAGCAGGCAGGAGTGCAGGGGGTGGAGGGGCATGTTGCATGCGGTAATGCTGGGTCGTCACGAGGTCGACGATGCAAATAGCATTCAAGGAGGGGTCATGACTCGAAGTGGGGTAATACCTCAAGGGCTATGATGGATAAGATGTAGGAGGTATTTTCTACTGTGGGTAAGGTATACCAGGATGGTATTCAGACCAGATTTGTATTTTTTGATTTATTTTATTTTTGTGATAGTTGCGGGCGATAACTGCCTTCCCCTCGCTTGGTGTGACCAAGGACTTCAGTCACTCTATTCCTGTTGGATTGGGTGTCAGTTTTTTGGATGGGGTGGGAGAGGTGAGGGTCAATGACCAGTTCCTGTACTTAGCTCTCGGGGGTGTTCGCTGATGAGGGTGTTCATGGTTGGGACTCAAAGACATTGGCGCTTTGTACAGTAGTTGTTATTTGGAGAAGCGCGCCAGTGTATTGTGAGTACCTGTCACAAACTGTGACTAAGCA